GCACATGCGCGCATCTCACTTTGCGCTGTTCTTCAGGGATCCACCTTGAGGGGTCCTCTATTCAGGGGCTTAGGTGGTTTCAGGGGCTTGGGGCTTAGGTGCTGGCTGAGGGTTTGAGGGCTTCAGGGTTTAGGATGTTGGGCTTTGGGGGGTACTTTGAGGGTCGGGGGACTTAGTAAGTAGGTAGTAAGTAGACTTATAAGTACCTTAAAAGGGACCCTAATTGGGGTTATGGTACTTATATAACCAGTTACTAAGTCCTCCGACCCTCCAAGTTAGAGGGTCTCTTCTGTCTCCTCATGTCTTCATGTCCAAGAAACCTGCAGGGGAGTGAATCCTCGGTGGTGTGGTGGAGATCGTAGGTTCCAGGTTGCAGAAAGCCCAAATCCACCATAAGCCTTGCAGCCCCTTGAGCCCTGAACCCAGTAACAAGAGGATACTATAGGGGCCTAAATAACTACCGATACTATTTCGGGGGTTCCCGATTATAATTATAGCATAAATGGATTCCAAAACTGTCTTCGAATTATCAAGGCCCTGGGATTCAGTAAGGGGTGATGTAGAGGGCCATTGGGGCCCCCAAAATCTCTTGATGAAAGAGTGTACCTCGAAAACCCTCCGCGCATATCATATTAGGGCTCCCTCTATGGCGTAAGGTGAGTGCCTTGTCTACTAGGGTTTTGTAGAAGGCCCGTATAGTGGGTTGTTCATAGGTCTCTTACAAGGGTAATTAAGTGTCTTACTGAATTCCATCCGCTGAGCCCCCAAACGCTGGGCCCCGAGTCCCAAACTCTGGAACTTAAACGCTAAGTCTTATAAACCCTACATCCTTAGTCCTGCCCCATGATCCTACACCCCGGAGGTGTCCTACAACAAGGCACAGCACCGTCTGAACACCAACAACCGGAAGGTGGGCACGCCTGCTCTGAGTTGAGTTTCAGCAGCTAGCAGCAAGAACCCACAGAACGTTTTCATCTATACTTCGGCTACAAGGGCTCAGAGACGGCAACAACTGCCGAGACGTTCTTGCCCTGAAGGGTTTAGTTTAGGGTCTGCGCACATGAGGTGTCGACAGCACTCCTCCAGCTTAAGCAGAGGAACGCGTGCAGAAGCATGTCTCTGAATGGAAAAAGCTTCAAGCACCCAACCTGAGCCCGAAACCCAAACCCCAAACTCAACGCACAAAAACCAGCGCCTTGAACAAGAAACAACCAGTAACTGCAAGCCCGAAGCCTTAAGCCGTAGCTCTTGCTCTTTAGCCGCAGCTGAGCATCCCAGAAAGCAAGGGCATTTGGGTTTGTGTGGAGTTTAGGGTTCTAAGGGTGGGCTTTCTGATGGGGTTGAGGGCTCAGGGTTCATGAAATCCGCTGCATCTTGAACCCTAAACCCTAAACCCTAAGCCGAGGCAAGCGCAGGACTCCGCATTTTCTCGGACTCTGAGCCCACAAGGAGACTGAATGTAGCAGATGCGAAGTCCCAAACCCTAAACTTTTAAACGCTAAGCCCAAGCCCTGACACCTGCACACGAAACTCTGAACCCTAAGCGCTGGACCCAAGCCCTGACCAATGAATTAGTTCAGTGAGCTCCATCATGTCCATAAGAGTGAAAATGCGGTCAAGCCTCCATCTTCGACTTCAGCCCTTAAAGCCGAAACCTAGAGGGTCCATATACACTGCCAGTATGGAGTTAGGTCCCAAAAGCCATCATGTTGACGGTCTTGTGCGACCTGATTCCATAATGGTAGTATATAAATGGACCCTCCGGGGAACAATTGGTATTACTTGCTATGGCTTTCGACAGAATTGCTGGGAACCCTTCAGGTCAAGCCCGTGGCGGGCGTTCATCCGGATGCCTTTCGAGAAGACCACCAGCAGACAGCGCGGTTTCAGCAGCAGAGGTGGGCACCGATCATGTCGGTGATGACGATGATGATGATGACTATGCCTATGCTGATGGGGGCGGATTCGCTGCCTTTCTTTATTTGCTTTGCTCCTTGCTTGTTGCCTTCATGATGGAGTCGTTTAGTAAGGATCCAATCTAATGCCGGATCGAAGTTACATGGACCTTCAGAATCAAGGACCAATGCCTAAACCCTAAACCCCTCAACCCTAAACCCCTCAACCCCTAAACCCTAAACCCCTAAACCTGCATGTGAGAAGCTCTCTGTCTGCTTTGTGCCTGGGCGGCTGCAAACTCCTCCCTGCTAGTCTTTGGGGCCTATGTATCCGCCCGAAGGCTTTGAAGTGGCCTTAAGTTATAGGGTTTAGGGTTTTGAGTTTAGGGTTTAGGGTTAGATTAAGTTCGGTTAGCATAGTAAATGAGAACAACTCACTTTAGCTTACTTGCCAGGAAGCTGTCCGCGGGCAAGGTCGTGAGGCTCAGCGAGGCCTGGCAAAAGCCATCGCAGCCCTAAGCCCCAGACCATAATATGGATTCCCGAATAATTACCAGCATTATTCCTTAGGGCTCAGAACACGGGCGTAGGTCCCGATAGCTGATTGCCCCAGAGCTCAAAGAGCTCGACTTGGTCGCATATCATTGCGCCTAGATCTCCAGCTTGGCATCGCCATATCAGGCAACAGCGAGCGCGGGCTCGCCGCTCTGTACGACGGAGCAAGCTGCTACGGCAGCCACCCTCAACCAAGGCCCTACGGCTTCTGGAACCCCACCACTCGAGGCCCCAGTACGTCTTTCGAGTTCAACGTATGGGCAAGGACAAATGGCCAGGACATGGAGGAGGCCAACACCGCCAAGGTGGATACAAGTACTGGCGTGGTGCTTGGTCGCCCAATCGCAAGTACAAGGAAGATTCGAGGCCAGCCAGGCCGCAGTTTCCCCGATACGATGCCCACAAAGTCGAGTCCGACGACAGGCCAGCGATCACCGAGATCAGCACTACGGCGGCTCCCTCTTCTTCGCGGGGAACCTTGGTCGACGAGGTACAGGCCCAGCTCAATGCGGCGCGGAAAGCAGAGAATCGGGTTCGCAGTTTGATTGCAGCCCGCGATCAGAAGATCAAGCAGTGGGCCAAGTACAAGGAGGATGCCAAGCGAGCATTCAACGCGGAACACGACCGGCACCTCCGAGCTATGGACAAGCTGGAGGAGGACTTGCAGACAGCTGCTACCCAGCAGGCCGAAGCTCAGGAGATGCTGCAATCTTTTGCAGCGCTCCGTACGTTGCGCCACCCCGGACCGGAGGAAGAGATGCGCGAGACAGCATGGGATCAAATGATGACAGAGGACACACGTCGGGAGGAGTCCGATCAGGCTGCCCTCCTAAGGTTGTTACGTGCCAACAAGCCCCCGCCGGGACTCAGAGGAGTTACAGATGCTACCGAGGGGGTCCCTCGACCAGAAAGGCCAGTTCCTGCCTGCCCGGTGACGGAACGGGAGCCGGTCTTGGCTCCTTCCCCCACACCGGTGAGGGAGAGCACAGCAGACGGAGGAAAAGAGGAGACCACATATGCCGGACATCCCAAAGCCACGCCTGCCAATCCGTATTTGTCTTCGCCAAGTGCCAAGGTGGAGTCTCTTTCGCCCTTGACTGGTCGCCCGGCTCGGTCCGCGAGCAAGAGCAGGGTACCGGTCAAGACCTTGACGAAGCCGGAAGTGGTGACTGGCCGTCGCACTTTTCAGGACAAGCTGGATCACAAAAGGCAGCAGGCCATGCGGCAAGAGGAGACCTCCAGGCCAATTGCTGCGGAAGATTCGACAGCTTCTGCCGGTGCCATACCCGAGGCAGAGCCGGACGGTCGATTGCCCCACACCATCGACCTCCTGGACGACGACCGAGAGATGGACTAGCAGGACTGTTCCCTGGGCGTCATTGTGGTCACTGCTCTCTGCGAGTCGTGACCACAGTGTGCCATTGTACAGGCAACTTGACCCTACTCGTCAGGAAGGGCCTCCTTGCAGGCTTGAGAGCCCGATTCATTGGACTGACTTGGGATGTCAGTCCATGTTGTCAGTGCTCCCAGGTCAATGCTGGGGGTCTGGTGGCAGCCCTTCTACCGACTGGGATAGGTTCTGGTTTCACTGTAGGCAGTTATGTCCAGCAGATCGTGATGCCACATGCCACCTCCTCGCCCCTTCTCTGGGCCTCCCATGGACATCTGGATTTCCTCTTGACTTTTGGGAGTTTCGATTGCCCCATACTTCTCGACTGCAAGAGAGCGCATAAGAGCGGAATCGGTTGCTCAGGGTCCGCCGCCTGTTGCTTTGGGAGTCTTGGGTGCAGTTTTGGGCCTCAGCCGGCTGCTTCCTTCACCGCCTGCCGACCTTCCTACCCGAGTTTTGGTTCCTTCGGGTTTAGTTCCCCCTGTCTTGAGGGCCCTAGGGGTTTGCCGTCAAAACAGGTTGTAGGCCGCAGGTGTTCAAAGCCACCAGTGTCAGACAGGGTCAGGTGCCTCCTGACCCAGCAGAAGCGACTCCCACGTTGCCTTCCACATTGCCCAGCTGAGCGAGCCAAGTGGGCCTCTTTTGGCCAAAGATGGGTCGGGCTGCTCGCGTTCTTGTGTCTTCTCTGCAAAGGGGCAGGCCCTCCGTTCTTTGCCTTCGTTCTTTTCAGCCTGCTCCGTGTCTTGGCCAGACCCATGTGCCTGCATCGTACACCTCTCGGTTGTGCCCTGACTAAGCCCCTTCAAGTCGGACGCTATGCTTGCGTCGTCGCGCTTGGCAGCATTGGGAGACCTGCCATCTCTGTCACACCAGCACAGGCCAAACACAAAGGCATCAGGCAGTTTAGTTCTGCGGCTCCCAGCAGGTGGCTCCTTCTCTCTTTGTGGCTTTCCAGGCTTGGGATCTCCGGTGTGACCGTTTGTGATCCTTGGAACGAAGTCAGGGAAGCCTTGCTTCAGACAACGTGGTGCTTTGAACCTGTTGTTTCAATTACACCACCGACTTCCTCTGTCAGGCTCCCCGAACAACCCACACTTGTTGACAACATGCGTGCTCCTGTTCGTACATTGCAGGGTGGTGAGACTCTGCTTCCCCAAGGAATGCCGATCCACACCTTTCCCCGAGCAGTCCCAGGTCAGGCACCTGGTGCTCAGCCCGTTCCTGCTGAGCAACAGCTTGACCCAGGCGCCGATGTGCTGCATGCCAGTTTTGCGGTTCTCATCCTTGATCACTTGCCAGAGCTTGTGACAGTTGCTCTTCGCACCCCAGCGACTGTTGCAGATGCGATCCAAGCTGTTGACGAAGCTAGGGATCATGATAAGAGCCTGCAATTTTCACAGCTCATCGAGGTTCGACCTCAGCCCTTCCTGCATCATGGTACCTTGCTAGCACTGCCAGATTGGTGCCAGGGTGAGCCCATACTCTGTTTTGACACCACAGCCATTGATGGCCGGTTGTTTACCAAGTCCTCCCCCTGGCGTGTCACCAAAGCACAGCTCTGTCGGGCTGCAGGATTGGAAGGAGAACAGCACGTTGCCGTATATGCATTCGGGCACCCACAGCCTATTGCAGCAGATGAGTGGATTGATGTTGAGCTTGGCGGCTGTGTTTTCTTCACAAGACCGTGGGAGCCTGCCCGTATCGGTCACATGCTTCCAGTTATGCTTCGATCCCCATACGGCTGGGAGAGCAGACCACGTCTGCCGGAGCCGGTACATGCACGTCGGTTTTGCCTCACCCTTGACCGGGGACATCGCTTGATGCACTGGCCGGCCAGGTCTTTTGGGCGATCGCACCATGATATCATTGCTGAGACCTTTGGCCTTGACAGTGAATCGCTTACGGTTCAAGCATCCCGCCCTCCTGTCGAGGATGTTGCCCTTGATGGGTACCCATGCATCACTGTAGCAGCAGTATCCGATGACATCAGCAAGGTCCCGATTCCCCCAGGGAGGTGGATCCCTCCCAGGCACACTGTCATTATCGATGCGAGGCCATTGCTCATGGGCTTTCTTCTGGAGCACTCTGTACAAGGTCGCATTAACCACTCAGATCTTGTTGACAATTTGTCTGTCTTCGTTCCTGAGGGTTATCAGGTGCAGCTTGACGGGGCTCCAATTGATGATGCTGGCGAGTTCCTGCATGTGCATCCGGGACATGTCCTTGTCGCCACATATGTGCCGCTCACTTCTAGCGAGGCCTCTTCCACTGATCCTAGTGACAGCTCGGACGACGACACGAACAATGAAGGCGAGATCCTTGGGCCAGGCGAGCATGAAGCTGAAGTGCCTGCCTCCTCCTCTGGTGGAAGCAACTCTTCGAGATCTCGCAGCCGTACGCCCCCACGAGACACTCCTCCTCGCGCTCACTTGTCCCTTACAACCGGGAAACTTGATGTTACAGCTGACTGCTCGGTTGCGCGGCAACTTGTGTTTGATACGCCGACAAGCCCACCTGCGTCAACAGGAGCTCAGCTTGTTCAGACCCCGCCCTGCGGTGACAAACTTCTGACCGAGCCTGCCTGTACCACTGCTGCAGAGAGTGCCAGGATCAATGCTCTCCGGCGCACAGCAGCCAGGCTCCAAGAAGCGTGGCCCTATGCCGTGCACCCTGCATCTTTTGGCATTGCACCTTCTGAGTCTTCTACCTCGTCGGGAGTGCTCTCTGAACAGACAGCATGGGCCACGTTTGCAATCCTTGTGCCAGGCTACAGTCCAGAGCTTGTTACAGTTGCTCTCGCCTTCCCGACAGTTTTTACAGAAGCCAAGCGTGCAGTACAAGATGCTCGGTCACCAGAGGCTGTTATGGGTTTTCCGATACTGCATCCAGTTATGCCGCAATTGTTTGCAGACCTGGCTGTCTGCATAGCAGTCCCAGAGTGGCAGCACAGACTGCCGTTCCTGTGCCTCGATCTCTTGGGTGTTGATGGCAGGATCTTTGCAGTGCCAGCTCCGCAATATCTCTGCTTGCAAGATCTTCTGGTGCTAGCAGATCTCCCTGCTGATCTCGGTTACGATGTCTTTGTCGGCACGGACTCGCTGCCCTTGCAGCCCGGCGTACCTGTTCACGTCGTGACAGGACAGGCTATCACTTTTCTGCCAGCGGGGTCGCAGCCCATGCACAATCTTAGCATTCATGAAATGCTGCAGGACTATAGGCAGTGGTCACCTGATGCTGTCCTTCCAGAACGAAGCCAGATCGGCTCCTATTGTCTCGTGCATGAAGACAGCCACTTCCTCGTTACTGACAGTTCCGACAGTCGGGTTTCCCTTCGGGTTCGGGCTAGTGCTGCGACTGGTGTTCGGTCTGATCTTCTCGCCCTTGTCCCTGCCAGTCCACGCCTTTCGAATGTTGAGCTCACAGGATGCCAGTGTCATACTGTCATTGCTGCATGCACACAGCCTGCCCGAACACCAGGAGATGCTCTGCTCATTATAGACTGTCGACCCCTGCTTGCTGGCTGGCGAGCTATTCTTGTAGCGGCGTCGAGGCTTGATGTGTACGGCCTGGCTGAGCAGATTTCTGGAACAGTCGATCTTACGGGCACGGTTTCCTTCCTAGAGATCCCTTTCGGTGTTAATGTTTTTCAGGTCACCGATGGTCAAGTGCTGACCGCCGCTCTCACACCGAGCCAACAGGCACCCACCGGCCATGCCCCGGCTGGAGGGAGCATTGCACACCCAGGGGAATCCGGGTCCCTCCGACCGTCAGACCCGAATGAGCCTCCTCCAGACCTTGCTTCTGGTAATGTGGACCGGATAACCGAGCCGGGTCGTGATCCTGGTCCAGATTCTCGACAGCAGCTCCAGGGAGGTTATGCAGGGGCAGTCTTTTTGGTTCTGACCCCGGAATACCTCCCTGAGTGTATTAAGCTTCGCCTTGCGCCAGGACAGACCCCGCTTGCTGTACTTCAAGCAGTTGCCGCCGCGCGCAATCCTGCGGATTCACGCCGGTTTCAACTCTTGCGTCAGGTGCCATGGCAACCGGCCAGTGCATTCGCTGTCATCATTGCCGTGCCTACCTGGAGTCAGAACAGAGTGTTTGTGTGTTTTGACTGTCGCCAGCTCGATGGAAGGATTTTTTGCCTGGATGTTCCGGCTAGTCTCACACGTCAGGATATCCTCAGACTCGCACTGTTGCCTGATGCTGCAGATGTCGTTGTCTATGCTGCAGACATGCCATGGCCACTCCTGCCCGGGCAACGCGTTGACGTCAGCACAGGCGCTCTCATTCAGATCATGACTGCGGATCACCCTCATTTTACTGTCGTTCCCTTCGCGGACTGGCTGCAAGACAGTTCTGGCTGGAATCCTCGTGCCTCTCTGCCCGGAGATTTTCGAGACCACACTTGGATTTTGTCAGATACCGGGCAGTTCACATTCATCGTTCGGCGTGGCCGCCGTCATGCCATCCAGACTGACCTCGCCAGTCAGCTCGCGGTTGATGCAGGAGACCTCCTCCTTCGAATTGCCTCCCCAGGGGTCTCGAATCACATGCATCGGGGAAAGTACACAAAGGGCATCATTGTTGCCACAGTTGTACCAGCCGGGGGACAACGTCGGACTCCCCGACCCCCTATTTGCTTCCTTGATCTTCGACCACTGTTACTCGGGTTCTCCTGGAGGTATGCACCACAGGGTATACTTGCTTATCGGCCACTCCCTGCGCAGCTCCTGCCGCTGCCCTCTTGCCTATGTCATAGGTTACACACAGGATGGGTCAGCACCAAGACCTCTCAATGGGAATATCCACATCGCCGATGGTACGATTGTCACCATTGAAGTTATTCCTCGAGCCCTCTTACGCAGCGGGTCCCCCGAGGTACCACCGAGGCCACCGCAGCTGCCGCCTGCGCCACCATCAGACACCGCCGGTGCGGATTCTTCCGCGGCCGAGAGCCGTAATCATGCCGTTGATGCAGGTACTGGTGGATCGCACACTTCCACTGTTGGACCTACTACTTCAAGCGCCAGACAGGCCCACTATGCTATCGAGGCAGCATGTGGTGTCAATACCTTCAAGCCGATTTGCTAGCAGTAGAGTAGCCAAGTGGGCCCCAGGGTTATTTCGAGTCGGCCTTTCTCCGTGCCGCCTGGGGTTCACCTCTGTCCTCCTGCTTTCCATCGTTGTTTGCTGGGGTCACTTCATTGGGCATTGTCCCAGCTTCGGCTTTGTGGTAGCTACTGCTGCCCTGAAGGACACACGACCAGGATGCCTGCCGTTGCATGTCCTAGTCGGCCTGGCCCTGCTCGCAGATTTCCCTCAGGCTGTACTTGCGACCGGTGTGTGCGCCCATCCCAACACTGATGGCGACCTGACTTGCTGTCCTCTTCGATTGCTGCCTACCCCCTGCCGTGCTACCCGTCATCCACCTGTGAACTTCTGGATAGGATCTGATAGTTCCGACGAATCCTTTGACGGTGATGCCATCGCCGACAGTGATGACGGACTTTGCCCCGAGCTTGCTATCGCTGCCTATTGGCCTGGCCCCACTCTTCTGCAGGAAGCCCTGCAACAGCCTGGATGTCCTGCCTTCTTCCTAGCTAGTACTCTACTAGAAACTCTGCAGGAACACCAAGCTGAGCGGCAGCAGGATATCGATGCAAGTCCGGGGCCGCAGCGCATTTCACTTGTCGATTGTGTTCCCGTCTCCTCGCACCAAGCAGCAGCACTCTCCCTGACCGCCTTGCTGCCGGCACCCAGAAGTGTCGATCCTCTAGCCTCCGGACAGGATTGGCTCGATGCCGATCTTCGCACCCTGCTTCGAGATCCACAGGTACCAGATCATCTGCGGGTCCGCTTTGCACAGTTTCCGCTTTAGCATGCTCAGGGGTGCCCTAGTCCTGATGAGCTTCACATTTTCTCTGATGGATCTGCCTCCAGTCAACAGCAGCAACGTGATGTCAAGCCCTGCTCATGGGCGATATCCGTCTGGGCTCGTTGCTCGCATGAAACCTTTCTGATAGGCTTTGCAGCAGCCCAGGCTGTCCCTTGTAACACACCGTATCATCTCCTGGAAGAGGATGATACAGCCCTCACAGGGGAATTCTTGGGTTTAGCCTGGGGTCTAGTCTGGCTTGTAGAGCATGGCTTACAGGTGTGTCAACAAGCACGCTTTTTCTATGATGCTACGGGAGCCGGTCAAGGCGTCTTCGGTGCCGCTGCGCTGCCAGCTGCAGGACCGTGCGTCAAGCTTGCTAAATTTTGCACCTGCCTTCGACAATATGCCCAGACTCTCCTTGGTCTTGCTCACGAGCATGTCGCTGGGCACAGTGGGCAGATTCAGAACGAGTTTGTTGATCAGTTAGCGAAACAAGCCCGACGGCTTAGTGACGATCCCTGGGAGCGTTGTTTGCCTACTTGGCCTGCCTGTCTGTGCCGGCATTCTCTAGTAGAATGGACCTGGGCAGCAGTCCCTCAGAGTCCAGATGTGCCAGCGCTGTTTTCCTTCGAGTCCGAGGCGCGCAGACTCCAAGGGCTCGGCAAGGATATTTCCCAGGCGCCCATGTTTGGCATCCGCCAGACTAAGCTCGCGGCAGGGCTTGTTGCTTTTAATCTTAGTGCGGTTTCCCTTAATGTCCTTACCCTTAAGGACCCCGGACCACGTGCGCCGGACCTTCAGCCCGCTGGTCTTCGAATGCTCGGCAGAAAGGGACTTGTCAAACAAGCCATGCAAGCCAACACCGCCTTGTTTGTTGGGCTACAGGAGACTAGATTGCCACACAATGGTTGCCAGCCGGACTCCGATTTTCACATTCTGCAGGCTGCCGCCACTGACACCGGCGTTGGTGGCTGCGCGCTGTGGGTTGCTCGAGCCATCCCTTATGCGCGCTGTGACGGACAAGACCTCTTTGTTGAGGATCGACACTTGACTGTTACTGCCCACAGCCATCGCCACCTGGTTGTCACCGTGTCTGCTCCGAGACTACTTCTTCAGGTCAGTGTCATCCATGCGCCCTCCCTTGCGAACACCCCTTGGGAACATGTTGCTGACTTTTGGCGAGCTAGAATCAGCGAAATACAAGGTCGGCCTGAAGGAGCAGATTTTCTCCTTCTCACTGATGCGAATGCTCGTGTCGGCACCGTAGCGTCCGAGCACGTCGGCGATCATGCCTGGGAACCCGAGAACGAGAGTGGCACCCTCTTTCACGATTTCCTGGCTCAAGTGCAGGGGTTCCTTCCTTCCACCATTGCAAGCTTCCATCAGGGCACCTCCGGAACATGGTGCACGCCTCAAGGTGAGTGGCACCGGCTCGATTACGTTGTCTTGCCATGCCATTGGCGCGATGTGGACATTAGCTCCCGTGTTCTTGTCGAGGTCGAACTCATGCAGAAACGCGAGGACCATCTTCCAGTGTGGGTCCGCTGCTGTTTCGGCAAGGCTCTCCCCGCTCTCCAGTACTTCGACAACCGTCGTCATGTGTCCAGACCCAGCCTTGCACATAAGCTTGCTTTTGCTTAGCGTCATTTTCCATTTTTTTTGGTGTTGTTTTTCAAATTTTTGTTGAACTGCATTTTCATGACTGCACCGATGAATGAAAATAAGTTCTAACAACTTGTAACATTGTAATGTCTTCATTAATATTACATGTGCTTTGTATTTTACATGACATGTATTTTTAATATGTGACATGTTTCATTTTAAGCTAGAAAACGAAATTTGGAACGACAGCAGACTGAGATAAAAGCATTCCACCATCAGCTTTAAAGCATTATAGTTAACACTGACACAACATGATGATTTAATAACTCTGCCAAATGTCCCATTTCATTATTAAAAACATGTCACTGTAAATCTTATGCATGCGACGATGATAGTGACTCGCAATAAAATATCTTTTTATGATTTTACCGAGCATGTTTGTGTACTGCACCGATAGAGTGAAATATCTAACTTAGTCTTGCAGGAAGTAGGGCTTACGGATTAGGGTTTACAGATTAGGGATGATGAGGGTTTACATTTTAAAGGGTTTACTTTAAACCAATCCGTAAACCCGTCATGCGTAAACTCTAAACCGTAAACTCTAACTGTTACTATAAATCCGTAAACCCGAATCCGTAAACCTTAATTTAGTCCGAAATACGGTTTACGGACCAGGGTCTACGGATCAGGGTTTACGGATCAGGATTTACGGATCAAAGTTTACGGATTAGGATTTACGGATTACGGCTTACGGATTAAGGCATACAGATTAAGGCTTACGGCTTACGGATTAGGGTTTACGGATCAGGGTTTACGGATTAGGATTTGGGTCCGAGGGGTGAGAGTTACTGCCGAAGCAGCCGTTCGTCTTTTATTTTTTTTATCTTTTCATTTTTCTTGTTTTTCTTTTTTGCTCCTTGGCGTTTCAGCGGCCGAAGCAGCCGCTTCTGCGTCTCTCGCGGCCGCAGCAAACGCATCTCTCCTTAGCCATCCACGCATCTCCAGCAGCCTGCGCTTGTTCCATTTCCCTCTTGGCCCGCTCTTGTCGTTCTGCCCAGGTCTCGACTGGTACGTGTTGGCACCTCGGAGCTGGCGGTGCAGCCGAAGCAGCTGCTACGTCACCGAGACTGGCTGCACGCCTGGTGAAGATATCCTCGAGGGTTCTTGGGTCGCGCGGTCTGCTCGGGGGCCCAAATCCGCAAGATCCCAAAACTCTGTCACGTCAGCTCGTGCAGCGCCGCCAACTCATGCCAGTGACCTTGGAGGCTAAGTTCGCGTCTAGGTCTCGGCCCCTGCCCTTGTACCTGGCAGGCTTGGTCCACCCACAGTGCGAGGGGCTTCGCGTCCCAAGTACCCCCCACCACAAGAGGGTGGCCCGTGTAATATATATACAGTCCATGCTGTCGTCCACCGCCCGGGCAGCCTTGATCTGCTGTGCACACAGGCCTTTATCGACCCGGTCACACACAAGCAGCACATTTTTCTCGCCGATGCCCAAGCTCTTGCAGAAGCGTTTGACCCGGTGGTCTGGACGGGTGATTTCACGACACACCGTGCCTTTGTCTTCTTTTGTCGCACTTAGTTTACTTCTTCTCGCCGAGATGCACGTACCACCAGTCGCCGTAGCTTGCTGCCCTCCATATATCTCTTCCATCCAATGTCTCCACACCAAGCGCACCTCTTTCACTCAGGACTCCTCCACAGTCCAGGATCAGCCTCAGTGCCTGGACTGGCCGAAGCAGCCAGGACGGCCGAAGCAGCCGGGACAGCCGCAGCAGTCGGCGGCCGAAACTCAGGCGAAAACCTGAAAGCTTAAAAGCTGCAGCATGTGAGCGTTGTAAGAAGAGGTCAAAGCGTCCTCTCCTTAGGACAGGAGGGGATGACCCCGAGCGTCCTAAGGAGAGGGGACGCAGAGGACAAAACGCTTAGAATCACTTTTGCTTAGCGTAATTTCAATTTTGCCCTCTCCATCCCCTCTCCTTAGAACAGGAGAGGATGACCCCGAGCGTCCTAAGGAGAGGTCAAAACGCCTTCTCCTTCCAACAGCGAGGCTTACAAAAAAGGGTTTTAGGGTTACGGCTACGGTTTAGGAAAGTCCCTATATCGCTAAACCTGAAACCTTTAAACACTAAGACCCCCAAAGACATTGAACCATAAAACACGCCCATTATACTTGTTATAGCAACCTTTGAGGATGTCAAAATTGAAAGCATCAAGTCCTTTATGTCTCTGGCCTTGAAAACGGTCAACCCTCTGCTGTATTCCTAAACCCTCAAGCCTCAACAGACAAACGTATTGAAAACCAACGTTTCAAATCGCAGCTTCAAGCTTTTCATGCCTGTAGCCCTTTGGTATACCCTTTTGTTGTATGGTCGTAAACCCTGAAGCTTCACAACTTGAAATATCCGTATCAAAAATAGACTTTAGTTTAAAACACCGCGACGACTTAAAAGTCAGAAGCATTAACAACAACCTCACAACTTGCCACTAGAAACATACCGGTTCTGAACACTAACATGTCAAAAAGAAGCTTCTGGCAAACCTTTCATTCAACCCCGTTACTTTATTCCTAAGGCTTAAACCTTCAACGCTGAAAAAAACGTGCGTTCAAAATAAATTTTAAAGCAAAGACCTCGACAACTTAAACCTCGGGAGCATAATTCACAAAAGCAGAACTTGTAGGCAGAAAGTTTGCTTAACATCTCCAAGCGAAACCTGGAGCCTTTCATGCCTGTGGCCTTTTCAAAACGGATATATATATATATATATATATCGGTTTTACTCTAGTATTCCTAAATCCTGAAGCCTCAACTTTTTAAAAATCCGTATTTAAAAGTTATTTCAAGACCTCCACAACACAACAACACAAACTCATTATCAATTCCCTCCTTCCATCCGTCCTTCCACTCGTATTCTTTTTCCTGGATTGAAGTCGTCTTGTCCGAAGACCGATGTTGCCTTCAAATTCTTCAGCCTGTCAAGGCCGAAGTAACCAAACGATAGTCGTGTTGTCCAAAGGCCGATGCAGCCTTTGAAGTTCCTTGAGCCTGTCAAGGCCGAAGCAGCCAAGCGACAGCCGATTGCAGTCGTTTTGTCCAAAAGCCGATGCAGGCATGGCTCACTTTTCACATAGGCCGCAGCAGCCTTTTTGCGCGGATCGCTTTGCTCGTGACACCTGAAGTTTACGGCTTGCAAATGCTCCGTTTTCGTTAGCCTGTACTCTGCGTAGCTCGTTTTAAAACCTGCCGCATGGCAGCACTTACATCCTATGCCCCAAGTTGGCATGGAACGAGCATCCAGCCAAGAGCCAAAACCAGAAATGACAAATCTTGCTTGCCCCCAGTCGTTTCCATTTCCCTTCGGCCGAGTCAGCCGTCTTCAAGGGCCGCTGCAGCCCACTTTTGGCCGAATCAGCCTGAGAAGTCGTCATTAAAGCCTTGATCCCACCGATAAACGGAAATAGCTTTCAGCACCTTGCAAATAACTTTCAGCATGCCAACCGATCTTTGCGTCAGGATTTGGAATTACATCTTAGACATGTCTTGAAAAAACTGTGCAAACATAATGGATGTAATGTTTGAAAGATGTACTTCATGCATATAAATCATGATGACTGATGTTAATACATATGTGCTACAGTTTATCTTCTGCTAGCGTGTGCCACAGTGCTGGAGTTTAAACTTACTTGTAGTTGAATTCTGTGCTGTCGTGACAGTGGAACCTGCATAAAGCATAAGTTATTTACCTATTTCTAAAATCTGCTGCCCAAAAATTTGCCAACCGATGGATGAAAATAACTCAAAAAGTAAAAAAAGATATTTTTAAAAAAACGCAAAAAATCATGGAAAAAAAAATGGAAAATGACACTAAGCAAAAGCAAGTAAGGAGTCACCCGCTGCCGCTGCCGTGTTCCGGCGAATCCCAGCTCCTGACTGGCAAGTACCGGTTGATTGTCACTACGACACTCTCGTACAAGGCTGGCATGTTGCCTCTGCAGGTTTAGCGAGTCGCAGGATGCTGCCCCTCAGCAAGCCTACCTGTCTGAGGCCACACTTGCCCTTGTGCGGGTCCGTCAGGCATTGCGTCGCTATCTCTCCCAGGAGGCTCAAGAGACACACCGACGTCTCCAGCTTATTGGCTTTGCTGCCTTTGTCTCCCTGCGGCGCGGCCTCCCGTTCTCCCAGACTGCCGTTGCCCGTGCTGACTTTTGGTTGCGTGCCATGGACGTCAGCGAAGCGTCTGCTGCAGCTCTTCTTCGATGGTACGGGCGCCAGCTGCGTACTGCAGTTGCCCGGGACCGCCAACATTATCTTGAAGGGTTGGTGACCAATGCAGCGCAAGTCGACCTTCGCTCGCCCAAAGACTTGTACAAGGCGATTCGCAAAGCTTTCCCCGCTGCCAGGGCGGCCAGACGGAGCGGAATCGTGCCCCTACCTGCCTTAGTCCTTGCAGATGGCACCATGGCGGCCACTACTGAGGACAGGGCCCTTGGCTGGCGCACCCATTTCTCTGCTCAAGAGGCTGGGGAGGAAGTGACGACCGCCGATTATGTTTACAAGGCTCGGGGTCAGGCCGTTGCCACTCGCCCAGCCCATGCAGTTTTTTCTGCGAGCGCTTTGCCTACCTGGTCCCAGGTCGAGCAGGTCGTGCTCAGGCTAAAAAATGGAAAATCTGCCGGACCGGATGGCATCACGTCGGAGGTACTACGAACATGTACCTCCGTTACCACACGGCAGTTGATGCCAATTCTCTTAAAGACTGCCCTTCGATTACAGGAACCAGTAGCTTGGCGAGGTGGCAACTTGATGGTGTTGGCAAAAAAAGCCTGTGCCAGGCTGACCTGTGAAAACTATCGGTCTATCCTTGTGTCCTGCGTACCAGCAAAGGTATATCACAGGTGTCTCCGGGCCGGCCTTAAGCCGCATCTTCTCTCTACCCAACCTTCCATGCAATTTCGGGTTCGCGACGGAGTTGGCATCGAGACTCCAGCACTCGCCGTCCGCAGCTTTGCTGCCCTGCTCGATGGTCTCCGTCTACCGTGGGCGGTGCTCTTTGTTGATCTTGCCGCGGCCTTCTACACGGTCGTGAGACAGAGCCTAGTCCCTAATCCTGACACTGACCAAGGGTTCCTTTCGTTGTTGCATGCCTTGCAGCTGCCTCCGGATGCTATCGAAGAGTTGCATGCACACCTCCTTGTTGCCTCCGAGCTGCCACTTCAGGGTGTGGGTGTGCATCAAGTCGAGCTCGTCAGGGACTTGTTTGTCGGCAGCTGGTTTAGGCTAAGTACTCACTCTGCCCTTATCCTCACACATCGGGGCAGTCGCCCAGGGGACCCGCTGGCAGACCTTCTGTTTGCCTTTACCCTGGCTGCTTATCTTCGACGGGTGAACCAACTTTTGTCGGATGCAGGGCTCATGCATTCCCTCCCAGCTCCTGATCGGAGGCCAGCCTGGTTCGATGGACCGGACTCTGTCACCATTGGCAATCCTGCTTGGGCCGACGACTTTACTTGGCCCATTACGGCACCGTCCTCCGATGCACTTGTTGAAACCGCCCAGGTTGGCACCTCTATCCTCCTTTCCCATGCCTCTAGCATTGGCATGTGCTTGAAGTTCGGCCCCGATAAAACTGCTCTCCTCCTGCCGGAAACAGTGAAGAAGAATTCGGAGCGCCTACTCAGCGTTGATGATGAGGGTGGATTGTGCCTTCATGTCAGCGACAAGTGCACCGGTGCGACCTGTTTCTTGCCACTTGTCAGCGTGTACAAACACCTTGGAGGTGTGATTACCTCCAACTCTTCGCCCCTGCCTGATCTCTATCATCGATTCTCTAGAGCCGAAGGTACTGCACGCCCTCTCCGTCAGGTTTTCTTTGGCTCTAAACAGTTCACACTGACAGTGCGCAGGGCGCTGCTTGGTGCGCTAGTCATTTCCAAATACACGCATACCGGGGCAGCGCTCATTGTACGTGCTGCTTGCCACATGCGAGTATGGGAGAGGCAGTACGTGCGGCTTTGGCGGAATCTCTTTCGCCGCACCGCGCCCGAACAACAGGAACACTCCCTCGCCGTCCTCTTCCGAGCGTCGGCCGTTGCGCCCCCGCTTGCGCTGGCCAAATCGCGTGCGCAGTTCCTTTCCAAACTCTTCTCCCGTGGCCCCCTGGACTTGGCCGCGCTCCTTGTTGACCACTACCTGCTTCATCCGGCCTCCTCATGGCTTGATCAGTTGCGAGCCGATGTTGCGTATGCTGCCATCTTCTTGCCCGACCTCCGGAATGTCCTTGCTGCAGGCAAGGAAGTTGCAGGACTTGTCGAAGCTTCACGTGACAATCCTCAGTGGTGGCCGCAAACTCTTCGACGTGTCGAGAAGTTGTTTTTTCAGGACCTGCAGGCATGGCATACCGGACACATCGCCCGAGATGCAGTCTCTGGAGTGTCTGTGTCCCTTCCCCACTCATCTGCTGATAGGGCATACCGTTGTTGGCTGTGTGATAAGGCTTTTGTCCTTCGAAAGCATTTGCATCTTCATTTAGCGAAATCACATGGTTGGCTCAGTCCGGCTCGGCACTTCGCTATCTCTGAGGCTTGCAGTGCTTGTGGCAAATACTTCGGGGACGTTGCTCAAGTCCAGCAGCATCTCAAGTCTTCCAGTCGCTGCCTCCTTCGGTGCTGCTATTTACATCCGCCTCTGACCAAAGAACAAATTGCGCAGGTCGAGGCACCAGCTAAGAAGCGCGCCAAAACCGTCAAAGCTGGTTGCTGGCGTGCTTTCAAGCCGCGTGCACACCCTGCGCCTGCTCCTCTCACTTTTGGCCCTCTTTGGCCTACCGCCCTTGAGCGCTGCTCGGGCATCGTCCTCGACGAACAACAGCCTCTCTCCACCCTCGCACGCCCCTACACTCCTCAGGCATCCACGGTCACCTGGATTGAGGCGTATATAGCGGGCAAGTCACAAGAGGGGCCCAGGACTACGGCTGTGCGCTACTGGCAGCGCAAGCCTACGTCCTTTTTTTGAGGAGCCTTCTTTTCACGTGCATGTACAGAATTAACCAGTTTTGGACGCGCCCTAATGAGGGCTCTGGAGTCCGACCAACAACAACAACAAGCATTATTCCTTAGACTTCCTTGTCATAAGTGTATTGTGATTACCCGCCCATTCTCGCTATCCAGGCCCCGAAGTGGAGCGAGAGCCCTGAACCCCTAGCCCTTAGGCCTGCCGGTTTTGTTATGGATTTCGACACTATCTGTAGCGAAAGAACCTACCTTTTTGGGCTGCCTTCTTATGGTTTTTGTTTTTTCTATGGATTTCGACACTATCTGTAGCGATAGAACCTACCTTTTCGGGCTTCCTTCTTATGGTTTCTTCAGATATCTGCACCCTAAACCCTAAACCCTAAACCCTAAACCCTAAACCCTCTGCCTCAATGGGCAGGCTTTTTGGGCCACGGGTGCACAGGCAATGCACTGTAAGTTAGGGGAGGGATTCTGAACTTATAGGGGTACCTTACCTCAGGGGTCCCAAGTTTTCCTAGAACTTATAAGAGTACCTGACTTCAGGGGTCCCAAATTGACTTTTCCTAGTTGGGGTTTATACTCGTGTCCGCTACAGCCTACACCCTCACCTCCGAACCCCTTAACCCCTGAAGCCCCAGAACCCCAGACCTTTCTAGGGTGAAGCCCGAACTCGTTGCCCAAGAACAGGACGAAACCCTGTCCTAAACCCTAGGCCCTAAACCCCATAAGCCCTACCTGCTAGGTATTCCGACTGTGGCAGGGAGGAAAAGGGCCTTCGAAAAGAAACAGCAATAAGCCCTTAAGCGAGAAGGAAGACCCCCTGGACCACACGGCAGAGATGGACTTCGTGCGCTTCTACACGGCCCTGAGGCAGGGTGAGAGCCAGGCCGGACCGAACCTTTAGAGGGGCGTTAGTTATGGGGGTGGTTGTCAAGATAAGGGTCCCTTTTTGGGTCCCTAACATAGACGGCACCTAATAGTTAGGGTACCCAAAAAAGGATCATAATTTTGACAACTGCCCATGGGGTTCAGGGGTTTGGGGGTTTGGGTTTAGGGGTTTGGAGTTTGGCTTTCTAGCGCTTTTTGAGACTTGGGGCTTTTATTCTTTGGGCTTCGGAGGTGCAGGATTTAGGTTTTGGGAGCTTGAAGGTTTGAGGATTGTACTTGCCTTTTTTCGGGTATTTCTGGCTTGCAGGTAGGCTTCTGCTGCTCAGAAGATCGCATGTCCCTTGACGTAGATATCCCGAATCGCTGACAGCCTACATCTGCGCTAGATGAAGTATCGTTCAGCCCAAAACCCCAAACTCTAAGCTGTCGGGGCTTTTGAACCCCAGACCATCAGGTTCACAGCTTAGGGCCAAGGGTCTAACTACTGAGACTCTTCGTGGCCATGCCCGCTCAGCTCCGCTCCTCCTCCCTCAGCCGTAAGAAAAAGGTCTTAGTATTAGATCAAGCTTCAAATGGGAGTTTCCGAAAAATAGGGGGCACCTTATTTTGGGGGTCCGTATAATCAGGATCCTACGATTTAGGGTACTATATTAGGGTCCCCTATTTTCGGAAACTCCCAAATTGTCAACCCGAAAGCTTCAGACAATGATACCGGAAACCCTACCACAGGGAATGGCACAGTCTTATCACTGCTACCCTAACAGCAACCGCTGTACTTTAAGGTATATTCCTTAGTTCCCTTATAGATCCATTTAAGGAACCTTATTGGCATATTTTAGAAGGGCCCCCACCCTGTAATAGTGGTATAATAGGAATATAATAGGGCCCTACTATAATCATGTTATAGTCACTATTACAGGGTGGGGGCAGCTTCTAAGGTATATTCAACTTCATTCCCTTATAGATCCCTTCAAGGAACCCTGTAAGGTATATTCCTTAGTGAAGGGTTTTGGAGTCTCTGGGCCATACGAAGTGCAGGCTGAGGCGTCCAGCGCCAGAAAGGGCTTCGTCCGTCTGGATGGCCTGGAGCCGGGGTCTTTGCCGCTCGGCTCAGGGTTCAGTTTTTGGGGGTTTAGGGTTTAGGGGTCTAGGGTCTAGGGTCTAGGGTTTAGGGTTTAGGGTCTATAGGGTGTGTCAAGCGAGGGCGCGCGCTCGGGTGTGAAGCACCCCGGGCCGCGCGCTCGCGTCGCTGGTCCACCCACCCCGGCCACCCAAACTATACTCTATTAGGGTTTAGGGTTTTTTTAGCTTGTTTTTTTTAGTATGTTTCCTCTTGCGTGATTCTGGTTTATGTATACTTTTGGTTCCTAGAGATGCTTGGGCCTTGGGATGCCACAGGACCAATTTTGCGAACGGACTGCGATGCCTTGTCATGTTCTAAGGTGTCACTATAAGAGCTGTGAGCAAGACCGTGTAAAGTGCAAGAGAAGGGGGCACGCTACGCGTCCCTCGACTCTAGGGGGCATGCTACGCATCCCTCATCTTTACCTTTCTATGTGACCGCCAACGCAACGTTTGGCTCAAGTCAATGCCCATAGCTAAGTGCTATATGTGTCTTCTATCCTGAGCAATCAGAGCTATCCCGTTGCACAGACGAACCGCCGCCGGCAGTGAGTGCAAAAGGAACGGCCGCCGGTTCTGCCTGCATAGGATCGCACGTGTGGAAGTAAGAGGGAGAGACAGGGTCCAGTCTGTGGAGAGTGCTAGCCAGCCACACCTACATTCATTACAGCTCTGGTGGGGAGAGCAGCAACCAAGTCGAGATCAATCCCCCACGCAGGTTATCAGCCGTACGCGGCTCTGCCTTTCTACAGCAACGACTACTTGATCTACTACGACCACAATGAACTCAGGATCAAGCCAAGATACGACAATGACTTTCGGTGCCGATGTGGCAGCGCCAGCCGTTGGTGAGTCAACAGCTGATGACACAGTGGTGCAATCCGTTGATAGCTCCACGGAAGATGACAAAGGTCAATCTTCTGCGCTTGCCATTGCAAAGGCAGTTCCCAAGGGGAAAGCAAAGAGTCTACCAAGAGCATCTACGCCTTCACGTCCGACATCCACAGGTTCGAGGACGGGCAAGGCTTCAGAACGACGGGCCGAAGCGTCTGGTTTTCAGGCACCTCGGACTACGTCCAGGGCCAAGGACAAAGGAGTCAAGACCTTGGAAAAGAAGTCAAGACCATCATCTTCGAGAAGCTCTTCAGCACGATCGAGGACTTCGGCTACTCGTGGGCGTGACAAGTCCATGACTTGGAATCGGATGGTTACCAATCAACCACGCGATACTGACGATCTGGACATGACTCTGGATACGATTCCTGCACGTGGTGATGCGTCATCCGTGGCCACGCCTGCAATAGCTGACGGTCCGAATGCCTACCAGGAACTGACGATTTCGCAACAGTTCGAAGCATCGAACCTTGCACAGCAGATGTACTATCGCAGTCAGGTGCAAGAATACGAAGGAATCGTCCAGACCCTGATGGACAAGATCAAGGAGATGCAACAAGAAGATGAAGGATCTGGAATTCGCATTGAGGAATTGGAACGACAACGTGATCATGCATGCTTAGCCATGAGGCACATCAACAATGTCAATCAGGAGATGAAGCGAGACTATGAAACAGCTTTGTTTCGCATGGATGAGCAGAACTCTGCTCAACAACGTCAAGCACATGCCGTTGCCGAGGATTTAGCTCAACAGCTACACGTGTTCCGCACGGAGGCAGCCACCAACTTTGTGCAGTTGGAGGCAAGAGCGCAAGGTGATGGTGAGCTTATGGCACGTGAGTATGAGCGTCTGACTCATGAACTTCATGAACACGCCAGAGAGAACTTGGTCCTCCGGTCAAACACAGCAAGTTCGGAACAAGCCTTACAAGCAATGCAGGAACGATTCCACTTGGTCAAGAACCAGGAGTTGCGGGCTGTGAACGAGATCCAAGGGCTAGCTGGAAACAGCGCAGCCATTGAACAAGAACGATTTCGGCTTCGCGAACGTCTTGGTGAAGAGGAAGAGTACCGCAAAATGGCTGTGAAGAGGATGCAAGAAGCAGAGGACGACTTCATCAGAATGAAGATCATGCAAGGCGATCATTGCCTACCTTGCACGACGAGCTGAGTGAACTCAGGAAAACGCTCAAAGCACAAGAAGATCTTCAAGCGAGGACACGCAGCGAATTGGAGGCAGCGCGAAACTCCAATCAAGGAGGAGCGACGCGACCTTCGAGCATGCCCATGTCTTCGAGGACTACTGAGTCTGGCTGGGAGCACGTAGGAAAGGAAGTAATGCCTGCATTTTCCGTAGGAGATGAGGTACGATCCCCTGAAATACGGTCCCCAAGTCAAGTTAGTCCAGTCGCCAAAGAGAAGTTCGCATTCTCGGAATCGGACAAGGACAAGAACCTTGTGATGGGCGGAATTCCATTCACCGGTGGAAACTTCTTCACTGGCCGCAGTTCAATGCCAATCGTGGCGGATGCAATGCCCGAGCACTACGTGCCAGGTATTAGCAGCCCAGCACTTGCGCGTTCCACGCCTAGTGCAGCCACTTTGTTCGGCATACCAAGCGGATTTCATGGGAAAAGTGATGCGGCAGCCGTGCGTGATCGACAGCTACGCGAACTCTTGGGGGATCGCGGGATGTTGGGATCGAAGTCCACAGCATCGGCCAGCTCCTCAAGACCTGTTGGCATCGACGGTGTCACCGCATCTACTAAGGGCAACGACCTCGTTGGTCCCCCCATTGCCTATGACGATTCCATTCATGAAGCAAGAAGACGTCAGATCGAGAAAGAAATCGCGGAACAGTACGAGGAGAAGATTGCTGATCTGCGAAGTGAAGTACTCCAGGCTCAGAAAGCCGAACAACGTCTCAGAGCTGATCGTGATGAGTGGAGATTATTCGCTGAAACGATTCAGGAAAACAATGGAGACGATGACGGTGATGAAGCTGGCGACGAGAACGGAGAGGACGAGCATGATGAAGGTACCGGCACGGGGTATGATCCTCCAGATCCGCCTGATGATGATGATGACAAGAAGAAAGGCGGAGGGGGCAAACCTGAATCGGATCCTGGCTCACATGCGCGTGATCCTGATGGAGACGCGGATCCTGAAGTCACAGAGGTGAGAATTTCCAGGAGGGAAGCCGACAAAGTGACCGTTCCTCCATGGCCTACTCTCACTCATCTCAACAACTGGCGATCCGTGTGCACGGCCAATGTCTTAGGGGCATCAGCCGACCCACATCATGAGGACTGGATGTTATGGCTGGCACCAGCGTTCAACCCATTCCCTGATGTCGAAGCATTGAATGATTCAGGACACAAGAAGTTCAAGAGCATAGACGTCAAATTGGGGATCGCCATGGTCGCAATGCTACGTGCCGGTGGTGACAAATCAGCTGACCTGTACCTCGAGGTGAACCGGAAGGCCAACGATTACATCAGCAGGCCTGACGTGAAGATCATCAAAGGACGACAAGTCATCGCGATGATGTACGAAAGTTTTCGAACGCATGATCGTCTTGACATGATCATCACTCTTGAGTATTTGGTGAAGCTCCAGTACCAAGGCGACAACAAGCTCCATACGTTCAAGCAGACGTGGTTGGAAGTTCTGGGACGGATGAGACCAGAGGACATTCCATCCAAAACAGCTCTCCGTGATTGCTTGTACAGCAAGATCAAGGACTCGCCCGCAATGAAAATGGACTTGGGCATGCATTACGAACACTTGCCCTACAATCATGAAGATCGATCGTACGACAACCTGATGAAGATCATCGATCGTACCATCATGCGGAGGCGAGAACAGTCCAATCTCACTCAGACTCAAATTGGCTTGCGCCAGATGCTTGAGGGCAAGGATTTGCTTGCTGCACCGGCCAAGGTACCTGAGAAACCTACGCCTAACGCAGCTCCATCCGCAAAGGTCAAGGCTTCGCCGACCAAGCCGGACAAAGCAACACCTGTACTACCTCAAAGCAAAGCGAAGAGTCATGCGAAGACCAAGCCGAAGCCCAAGAAGAAGACGAGGAGTGAGTCAGCGGACAACAGAGGTGACAAAAGCAAGAAGCAAATCCGCTGCAAGTTCCATTTCACAGATGCAGGGTGTCGAAATGGCGATAAGTGTCCATTCAGTCACTCGAAGAAGACTCCAGAACGACCCTTCACGCCGAGGACGAGAACTCCAAGTCCATCTGGAGGAGGAGGAAACAGGATATGCTACTCGTTCAAGAACACAGGCTCGTGCTCAAGAGAGAATTGTCCTTTCAAGCATGAGGCAGCAGCTACCCCA